TGCCATGGCACTCAAACCCAAGGCAACAGAGCCAGACTGTCACACCCAAGGCAACAGAGCCAGACTGTCACACACACACACACACACACACACACACACACACACACACACACACAGTTGAGTAAGAAGTTGTTGGATACAAAATGTTGACCACCAGCATCACATTCTTGGTATTTGATGCAATAGCATTATCCAGGGCAAATGGAGTTGATGTATGTTGTATTTAGAAAAGCAACGATTTCTTTCCTTCTCCCACTAAGGTGTTTTTTCATATGTTTTTGCTCTTCTTTCTAGACAGGTCATGCATGTAGGCCTATTCCAAAGGTTTACTAAATTTTTTGTTATGTAGAAACATTATCATCCATAATAATTAATATTGAACACATGCATAAGCCTTATATTTATTGATACCAGCTGGAACAAGTCTTATTTTGGTTGTATCCTTCTTAGTGAAGTCAGTCAAATAACTTCTACATTCTTGTAGTACTGTGTGTTTTCCTTTGTGGCACTTACCAGAATTTTGATAATTACATGGTATTTTAATGCATGTTCTTTATATAGACAAAGGAATTTTATACAGCTTTATATAGCTTTCTCCTTCTGGTTTAAATTTCCTTTTTATACAACTATATTGTTCAGTACTTCTTTTAGGAAGAAACTATAGGTAATACATTCTCTTAGATTTGTTTATCTGAAACTAAGTTGTATGTCTGCAAATATTTGTTTCCATTCTTGAATGATAGTTTACCTGATATTTGAAATTTTGTCTAGCATTTTGAAGATATTATTCCATTATCTTCTAAAATCTATTGTTGATGAACAGCCTGCTGTCAATATTGTCATCTTGTTAGTATTCTGTCTTTTGTCTTTAGTAGCTTTTATGATACCTTCTTGGTCATTGATATTCTGAATTTCATTCAGAGCTGGCAAGGTGTGGACTTGTTTTTATTTTTTTCCACATAGGGTGAACTTTATTCAATCTGAGAATTCATGTAAATTGAAATGTATTCAATTTTATTAAATATCAGTCATTAATATAAAATATTGTCTCTCTCTCATGCTCCCCATTTTCTCAACCAGTAACTACTTTCATGCAGATGTTTGAGCTCTTCTATTTTATTCTCTACATCCTTTATTACTGTTAGTAAAGCAAAAATTACCTCAGCATCTTTCAACTAAATGTATTCTTTTTTCTTCCATAATGAATCCATTACTTAAAAAGTCATTTGAATTTTTATTCCAGCAATTATATCTTAATTCTAGACTTTGTTTTCTCAAATCTTCTTCACTTTTCAAATGGCTTATTCTTATTGTAAAAATTCCATTCCATCCTTTTTTTAAATTTTTGAACCTTAAAAAAATACTTATTTTAATGTCCCTTTCTGATTGTCCTCTTATCTCTAATTTCCTCAAGTATAAATTCTCCTTTTATGGTTTAGCATCTGATAACATTGCTTATAAAACAAGGTTTTTTTTCATATCCATTGTGATGTTATTTTGTGGGCTTATTTTCCTGGAGAGTTCCACATGAGCCTTGGGTTGTGGTGGTATTCTCATGCAATTTTGCGGTTGCAGTTACTTGAACTCTCTGAGGTTCTCAAATGTTAAAATTAAGTTTAATAAAAAGTATGCGTACTTTTCTACTATAAAGTCTTCATAGCCTTTGCTTTTTTATTAGTTCACTCTTTATCTTTACATAGAAGATAAGAATTCAAATAGAAATCTATTGCCAAGTGTATGGAGAATCATGCCCTCCATCAATAGAGTCACCGGCTTTGTGCAAATTTCCAGAGAATATTTTGTGATGTTAGACAAAACCCCCTCTCTATGGATTATGGAATCAAATTTATAATTTGCATCAAACAAAATATTTTTGTTAATATTTTAAACAAATCATACATACTGAGCCTAATCCTCTTAATGGCTTATAAAAATATAATTTTTTAAATAATGTATTTCTACTCTAGTGTTAACTTATACAGAAAGAAGAAGAAAACTTTGATTCATTAGCCTCCCATAATGCAGTTGCCCTACAAATATTACCTTATTTCCTCCTCAATAAACATCCATATCCTCATTGCACAAAGGATGAGAGTGGTTTACCCATGATCATACAGCTAGCAGAAAAAGTCACTGGGATTCATATTGAGGGAAGTTCATCCTAGATAGTGTTTTTTTTACTAGACCGCGTTGCTGTTATTAATATAATATATTCTGTAGAAAAATCCTTTATGTTCAGTTTACAGTCATTGCTTGGTCTTAACTGAGTGGCCTAATTTCTAAACCAACAGGAACTATAATAGAAGTGTTTTGAATTTCAAACTAATATAAGAGTTTCCTCATTATCAACATCTGCAGAAAATTCTACCTGCTCTCTCAGTCTGTAATCCCTTCTTTATTGTTTCCAGGTTTGCCGAGGTCCACCATTGCGGATACTCTCTATCCTGCTTTGGTCTACACTCCTGTCTGGCCAAGTGCTGCCTCACGATGGCGCCGTTGGACAAAGTCCCAGGTCTTCTTTGAGCTTTACTGCTGTGGTATATATTAATAGCTCTAACAGACACAGTCCCCTAAGTGCCTTAATTTTATATGGCTTTTCCCATCTCTGATTCTTTATTATGAAATAAAGAAAATTAATTTTTTGTTTTAAACTGTGCTCTCACATGCTAACCACTTTATATTATAGTACCGCCTACTATATTGAATTGCTACGCTAAAGACATGATATATTAACTGCAAACTTAGGGTTTGTATCTAGAGAGAACAGAATGGGCCAGTTAGGAGAAATAAAGATGAGAGAAATAGAGAAAGAGAATGTAGGGGCAGGCAAGGAATTTTGAAGCTATGGCAACTGGTGCTGCAGCAGGGCCATTGTAGGATTATTCCAAATGCAACTTTTCATTAAGCTATTCACTGTGGCTATCTCAAATGATTCCACTGTGGAAAAATTGGGATAGATGACACTAATCATTGGCCATGGTGAAATTAGTTTTAAAAATATATTAGTAATTGGTGGAGTATAAAGATACATCTTGGATATTTCTATCTACCTACCTACCTACTTATCATCTATGATCTTTCAGTTCTAAAGTTCTAATTAAAATCCAAATCCAAATATAATTGTAATATTAAGCTGAATATTCTTCACATATTTTGATTGCTTCTCTTATCATGGATAATCAAGAGTTAAAACAAAAATAGTCCCCCCACCTTCTGAATTTTGGATCTTTCATATATAAAAATAAAAAAAAAATGGTTTATGTGGAAAAATATTAATATTTTATTATAATTTAAAAAAATGTTATACTGGTTCACAGAGGCTTTCTTTATTTCACCAATCATTATTATGTTGTACAAATACTTGTTGAGACCTACCATATGTAGAAATATAATGGCATTTTAAGAGAGTGGTTTATGGAGATTTTTGATCCTATGTCTATTTAACTATAAAGCCTTAGTAACTTAACTCATCCAGGTTGTAACAAATTTTAATCCTGCATATTGGGTACACTAAGATATGGGGAAAATTAGAATGGAGAAATGAGTTAGTAGTCAGATAATTCAAAGTAAAATATTGCCCTCTGAATGATCTATTAAATCAAAGCAAAACTATTTTACTAGAATTTTCTTTATGGTTTCCTTAATCTTTCACTTCATTTTGCATCTGTTGATACAGGCTTTCTGTTAGTGTAAACTTGAATGATTTATGACACATTATGTTCATAACATCTAATATTAAAGATAATAGGTTGAAACGTTCAATCAGATGGAATTAGACTTCAAATGTAATACAGTTTCAATATTTCTTACATTACTTTTTCCAATTGCTCAGAAAATTCAGCTGTTATTAAACTTTAGGGTATTGGATTTAATAGAAAACAGTGTATTCATGACTTTTCTTAAAGTGTAAATGGAAGTCAAAATATGCAGCATATTTTCTCTTACATGTTTATAAAATAAAGTTCTGTTAAGTGCCTTAAATGAATTTAAAAATGCACACTATGGTAAGTGAAATTGACAATATCACAGAAGATACTACCAAGAAGTTTCATCTATGTGTTGGACAACATGCAATTGCCATTTACATCGGGTAAAATGGTGAATATCTGTTTGTTTCATATAATTCAATCTAACATAACTATAAATCCTTATTTTCCAACATTGACATCCTGGTGTTGTAAGGAGTCCTTTCTTGAATAATTACAGATGGTGACCATGTTACTTTACAAGAACTCAGAATAAGAGCAAAAATGCACCTATCAGGAAATCTCTATGGTTTATACCCTATTACAAATAAAGATATAAGAAGACCTAGCTTATAATTTTGAGTTTCATTTTTAAAGAGAGAATCACAAACTTTCCCTCAGTTGTTTGAAAGAAGAGAAATTATTTCTTTTCCTTTTGGCTTATAACATTTCAGTAATGACATTGTTCAATGTGCTAACAATTGTCAACCATCTTACTAGGCACCCAACTCTTCTAATAAGCATTGTAGCACATTAGTAGTTAATCCAGGTATGAGAACTAAGCTATTATTATTTAAGTCAATAAGATAAGACCTTATGCAAGTTGATATAAGATGTTTCACAAAATATTTATTATTTACCATGTATACATTAAGAAAGTAAAATTAGCATGGGATGATCTCAGGAAAGTAATACATATTTTTGGATTAGACACTGAAGTAAAGTAAATGTATGATAAATTGACAAATTCACATTGCCAATGTTATGAAAAATGATGCAGCAAAAAAAATTAAGATGTATTTTTTCATTTTTGATAAGGGGGCTTTTCCTATTAGATATTAATTTATTATGTCTTTAGTCTGCAAAATTAAGCACTACTGTTACAGAAGCCTAAAGTGAGCAAAACTACTCACTTTCAGAATGCACATTAGAAGTTTAAATTGCACCCAGATTTTTTGTTTCTTTTTGTTAGGAGCCTCTGTTAATAGAGTAGGAGTTGCAAACACATATGTAGGTTTGCCAGTAACAACTCACAATTTGTGCAAAGTTGAGTCTTCGAAACTGAGCAAATTTGCTCTCAATTTCCCGCCAGCGCTTGCTGAGCTGGATCTGAGTTGGCTCCACTGCCATTGCGGCCCCATCATCAGACAAGCCCTCAGCTTGCCTACGCACTGCATTCAGCTCCTCTTTCTTCTTCTGCAATTCACGATCAATTTCCTATTGAGCAAAACCAATACAGGGCCCAGGGCAGTTAGCTAACCACATCAACCGACCTGCAAGCAGCAAATACTTCTCTCAGAAATTTCATAGGCTGGTGTCCCTTTATTGTCATCTTTTAAAATTTACAAATATGGAAGGCATCACTGTCATCCTCACCCAATGATCCAAATATTATTTCAATTATCCTTTGAATGCTCAGTTTTAGATGTTCTAATTAATAAAATATTTAAATTGCTCTAACATTTTCTTTCTTCTGAATTCTTCTGGTGTTTGGGGCTTGAACCAATTGGGGTGATGTCTCATTATTTATTAGGGATCATCCATAGAAAATATAATTTAGAGGGTAAGTGAATAACTTATTTCCTTTTTAATGTTTTGAGGAAACTCAACAGAGAATGAAGCAAAATAAAAAGTGTAAAATAATAACAGAAAAAACACATCTTCAGACAATATGCAAATAAATCTACAGAGATTTGACACTGATTTGTGAAGATGGTCTGATGAAATGAATGTGCTAACATGAGAGAGAAGTCGTCCATATACCGATAAGTCATTAGTTCATCTGGAACAAAGATACACAAAGTCAATTACAATTTTACCAGAAAACACATGACATTTCTTAATTCATTTTACATTGTCTAAAAGTAAAACATTTTATTCATTCAACATTATGTCAATTGAATAACACTTAATACAATACATTTACTAAAACAAAACACAATACAAGGAATGCATCAAATCAAAGAGAACATTAATAGAAAAAACAAGAACATCAACGTTTTAAATATGATCCTCACAGGTTAAGTTAAAGTAAATAAACTGTAGCAATAAAATCTGGTATTGACATTCTAAAACAACATTACCTTTATTTTCCTTTCATCTCTGGGTTCAGGTAGGCTGGCTAATTTTTTTTCAATGTCATCCAAGCATTTCAGGAGATCATCAGCCTGCCTCTTGTACTGATACCACTGATGAGAAATTTCTAGAGCCTTTTTTCTTCTTTGAGACCTCAAATCCTGTTCATGGTGCAGATATTATTAAAATATCAATATATATGTATAGTAAACCTCTGGCTGTAGTCATTTACAAAAAAATTGAGTCCCTTCATCTTTTTGTACAATTTATATTAAATACACATTTAAATGTAACATATTAAAATAAAAGATTAAATTATGAATTTTGGGGCAGGATCCATGTACAGGTAGCTAAGAAACATGAACAACACACTTAAAAGTATTTTCTCTTGGCATGTTCAAACTTGTTTAGTAATCTTGTCATATTTAATTGACTGATGAGCTAACTAAATTGTGTAGTATATGTGAAATAGTTTATGAATATATTAACTAGATAGTTGCACAAACTTAGTGAGTTTGTATTTGACTTTTAAAATAGGTAAAATTCTAAAATTTATATCTTCATCCCTGGGCTCATCAACAAAATTTTAAGTTCATAAAGTCAAGCAACATACATTCATGATTATAGGAATGCCTATAAAATGTTTCATAGACCATTAACATTTTGTGATTAGAAATATAAAGTTATTTTAGTTATAAATTGTTTCAAGCTTTATGTGTAGAAATGTTACTATTGCTTGTATAGCTGTGAGTGTGCATGAAAATGACAATTTAAATGTTAGAAAAATGCTTTTCCTTCCAAGACTTGCATGGGCAGATTTATCTTGTCATACCACATCATGTTCCAAATGTAAAACAATTAACTATTAAAAAAAAAGAAAAGAGAAAGTGCATGTTCTCCAGTAAATCTGATGAGATAAATAAGAGTGTCTCATTTAATATATCAACAAAGGGGAGAAAAATCAATCATCTTGCTCCTTACGAGTACAACCAATGTTTTTCCTGATCAATAGAGTTAGCCAAAATGCCATTTTATAACTCATGGGAACATAAGAGCTCTGCATATAGCTTTCATTTCTACAAAGAGGTAGCAATTAGAGTTTCAGGCACAGGTTTAACTCAAGCTAAAGAAAATAATGAATATCAAAGAACTTCTGAAAAATTCATTATATTGGAAAGTTTTGACCTTCTTTGAGATATTTCATAAGGACTAAAATTGGAACGACTGGCCGATTAACAAAGTTACTGAATTTGATGGTATAGATTGGTTTGGGAAATAGAGTTGACAATTTTGAGTAATCACTCACAGAATATTATTTGCAAAAATGATCTCGATTTCATTCTCCATTTTGTTTAAAATTGAGGATGTAAAATTTACAGTAGTTTACATTTTGTGTTGAATTTCCAAACCTCCTGTGGAGGTAATAAATGCCTGGGATGAGTAAGATAGAATGCTGTTTTTTTCAAAGGTACCATGATACAGCAACGTGAATGAGAATTGAGCCATGCCTTATTTGTGACACAACTCACATCTTTGCCAAGAGAAAGGGCTTAGTGGTCCTAAGTCTGAAATACCTTTTATTTTCTTAAGCACAAAGTGATATGTCATATGTAAGAATATTTAGAAACATCATATATATATATATATACATATATATATATTCTTTTAGAGGTATGGCAGATATCCACTAAACACTGCTATTCAATAGGACACACATCATCATATGACCAGTCTAGCTACTGCGGAAAGCTTGGTCACAGTTGGAAGGGTGTGAATTACATAGCTTTCTGATTTTCTGAACACATTATGGTTTGCTTTTGCACTCCCTCCAGGAAGAGGCCTTTTCTATTTACTATATTTATCAGCAGTTACCTTCAGAACACCTGCTGGCCAATTAGACTTTCCTTGTGGGTTCCTTGAAGGCACAATATTGTGTAATTACATTCTCAGCAGTGTTTATTTGGTTGACTATAGGGGGAAAGGTTTTATCCTCTTATTTGCATATAGAAAGCAGTCTCCATCTACCTACTAGGCAGATCCACCTACATAACTACATAGCTCTAAAAGAGTGATTTACAATGAAAAGCTTGGCAATTAACAGTATTAGAAAATCAGCCATGCATGCAAATAGTGAATATTGCAAAGCATGTACAAAAAAAGGGTTATTTTGCAAAACATTCCATATGTCCAGTCTCATCTCAAGAACTTCCTAGATATTATAGGAAAATTAAGTTTATTTTCTTTTTCCTGCACAATCCAGATGCGTCCCGTGGGTATTGAAGCCATATACTACCGCTGTTGAATATGAAAGTAGCATTTCTTCAAGGGCATTAAGGTTACTTTTGAGAATTTCTACACAAATGAAATTAGACTCAGTAGATAGTAAGTTAGTTGCAAAGAGTGACTCTCTTAAAGGCACAATAAAGTTTATTTTAAAAATAGGAGAATCCAGGCCTTATTAAACAAGTATTAGGTTACCAAAAATTGGACCTACTATAAATAAAATCAATAAAGTAAAAGAAACAGAAATAATGGAAATATAGATTGGTTATTCTTGCAGTTAGGCAGGGTTTCAATATAATACAAAAGTAGCTTATAAAAATAATGTATATTAGAAAATTTAATGTATAAGTAATATGAATGATGCATTTTGATATCTTTCAATTACTACTCAGAAAAATTTAATTTTTCTGAGCAAAAGCCATAATTTTTAAGCAACACATCTTTCCAAAATCAGACACCACTCAAAAATGCTAAATAAAACACACACATTGAACAGAAAAAAAGTGAATTTCTGGTGACTAAGAGCCTTAAGCAGATTTTATTTATGCACAATATATTTTATCGTACATATTAAAAAAACCACAGCAAGGTATATTATAATTTTAGCTCTAATACCTTGAGAGCATTATGTTTTGTCTGTAACAGCTGCTGTTTTATCTTTATTTCCTCTCGCTTTCTCTCATCTGTGATTCTTTGTTGTAAGTTGTCTCCTCTTTGCAACAATTCTTTTACAGTACCCTCATTGTCTTCATTCTGATTAAAAACGACAAGTACAGTCTTCATTTTGGTTTTTAAAAAGCTGTACATTGTTAACAGAGATAATAAAACATGTTATTTAAACACACACAAAAAATCCAATTTCAAACTTTCAGGGAATGTTATTGTAAGATACTGTGCACATAGCCTTTCTTTTATATTTTATACTTTAGATTTTTAAAAAGGAGATTTCTCCCATCTAGTTCTAAAGGATACATATTTAGAGGCACATGTAGGAAGATGGAGGAATATGGTACTTAATCATTTCAGACAAGACATAAATTATTGTGAAAGTACTCTTTTGGCTTTCATTTTTAGCATAGTTCTAGAAATCAAAAAGTTTAGACAAATAAATTAATCTCATCATTTATAATATTAACTGATCCATAAGGGAATATAGATGTATATATATGAGTATGAGATGGAAGCAAATCTTAAAATACTAATGCACTACTAAATAAAAATATTTTGTTTTAAATGTACACTAATTTCTATCTAATAATCACTGTTTTATATTTAAAACCTAAATGCCCAAATTTAGGACAAATATTAGGGTATTACGTAAAAATGATGCATTAAATTCCTTTCAAACAATTTCTAAAAAATATGTCGTATATGCATGTTGTCTTTAAAATAAGATCAAATAAGTATTAAAATATGGATTAGTAAATGGCTTCAAAAGTTTTTAATGTGCATTTTGTCCTTTTAGACTCCAAGAACAATATTTAACTTTATTTGCTTTGAAATAAAATTATTTGAATACGTGCTGGTCTAATATAATTGTATATGTGACCACATGATTTTTCACCCCAGTTTCCTAATTTTCTTTTAACTCAGAGTTTTAAAACATTTTATCAAGGAGGCTCATCATGTAATGGTTCCCAAGGTGCATCAATGAGCCAAGAACAAAAAATAATAGACAATTTTGAAAAGTCACATGCATATGTATGCATGTATATATTTAAATCTATAAAGCATGCTTAAACTTCAATACTTCAATATACAACTGAAGACCTATTCATTTTGTTTAGAGAGAATAGGATCATATAATATAGACATATTATATATTTACAGTCTGTAAAAGACCTTACTTAAGTCCGCAGCATTTTGTAAGGCTGAGGACAAACACACATACACCACCCCCACATACACACACACACATGTGCGCGCACAAGCGTGCACATAAAGGGAACCCACTTCACTTCTTTCCCTACACCAGGTGAGGGCTCTAGGGCAGGTTTGGCGGTCAGCCCAAGAGGTAAGCAGCACTCTTTTTCATCTCGGTGCCCTCTGCTTTCTTCTTTGACATGAAGTAGAGGTTGTTGTAACTCAGCATCTTGGAAAGCCTCTTCTTGTCTTTCTTTCCATGAGCTGAGTTGGCAAGGCCACCAAATCCCACACACAGGGAGTATTGACTGATTGAGTCAGCTCCAGGAACTCAGAACTGATACCAGTGGGAACTAAGATTCGTGGAAATAGTTCCACAGGCTTATTATCTAAAATTTATATATTGCTTTCTGATGTCATTTTCAAGATTTGTCTGAGAAGTCTCTAGCATTGGTACATGTCTGAGAAATCTCTAGCTTGATGCATTTAAAGGTCAAGAATGCCATAGAGGTGATGGTAGTGGAACAGGGGGAAAGAAATTGTGAAAAAGAGGGTTAAGGGAGAAAAAAAACTCAGTGAAGAAGGATGTGATGCAGAAAAATTCAAGCCAGAGAGATATTTTTAAAACATTCTGAAATTAATTAAGATTCAAGGAGAATGTTCTGAGGTTGGGAATAGCCCACACGGTCATATTTCTTTACTCCCATGAAATAAGCAGCATGAATTTATACACATTTTAGACACATACTGTACTATTTACTCAACATTTTGGTAAAGCCACTTTGTGGAAAACTTTAAAACACAATGTTTATATTGTGTATAATTGCCCCTTCTCTGAAATAAACGTTCTACTACCAAAAACATGACTGCTACAAAACTTCAGCCATCTGTGATAATTGAGTTTCTTATTAAATTTTTAGTTTATTTTTTGATTTGACAGGTTTTTTTTCTGATTATATTTTGTCCTTAATGAGTTCTAAAATAGTACAGGACAAAACAAAATTGCTGAGCTATTTACTAAAATCAAAAGTTGCCCTACATGGCCATATAATAGTGATTTGGCATTCACAATAAAAGAGCAACAAGGATACTTTGCATTTATAAAAATCATTAGACTCATAAAATGTGCAAAATGTGTTCTGAAAATTCAGTTGGAGACTTGAGTTATCTAATTTCTTTTCAAATATTTATTCATTTTCACTCCTAGTTCATTCACACTTTTATCACAACCAATTTACCATATCTTTATTGAAGTCTTCCTCTTTCAGATTCACCCCCTGCTGAATTTCAGCCTCCAGTGGTTCAAGCAATTTTTGTATATCTGAGTTAAACTGCTCCAATTCCTTCAAAGGAATGGAGGCCTAAAAAAAAAGATAGTGCTAATTTAAATCAAAATTACTTTTTATTAGAAACATAAACCAAAAGAAAGACATTTATTCAACCTCCTGTTGCTAAACTAATGACATGCATTATGTTTCCAAATTATATTTTGTAAAGGTCTTGAAATACAACTAGAAAAGTACCTGAGGATGCAAATAAGGAGAAACATTTAACATCACCAGAGCTGAACATACATGCAAAATAATGCAATTCATCATTCTTTGGTATCAATGAAAGTTGATTTACACATACATTTGACTGGGCTAATTTTTAATATTCCAAAGTTGAATTCGATCTTATTTTAAATATTCTGATATAAATACCATTTGGGTACATATGTCTTATCAGAAATTGCCTCATTCATCAAATAATAGTAAACTCAGGTAGAAATGCAAAATTGTCAACTTATCCTTAGAAAAACTACATGGCAATTTGCTCAGCTATCTTAAATGGCATTTTTACCATGGTAAAATTGACAGGCATGCTCTCCTAAGACAAACAATGTCATTAGCTTGCCTTAGGAATGGTTTCTTTGGTGGCACAAATAAATTCAAATAAATGAACCCAGAATATTTTGCATAAAGGATCTGAGTATGTTTTCTAATGTTATAAATCATCACAGTTTAATTTTAAAATTGATAATGACCACAGTCTCAACAAATTTTAAAACTTCTGGATTTTCTAAACAAAACAATTGAACAGTGATGAATGAAAAGACATTGAAAATAAAGTATATACTTTAAAAAGTAGGTAAGATTTAATTATTAGATTAAAAATCTGTTAATAAAACATATTTGTACCCTCTTAATCTTTATGTTGAATTTTTTTCCTTAAAACATTAGAGAATATTTTATATGTGATAGCTTTTGAAAACCCAAGATGACATACAGAAATCTGATTTTCTTTCAGAGCTAAAAGTTTTCTCTTTGTAAAACCAATTCAGGAATGGCCCTTAGTGTCTTATGCCAGGATGATTATATTCATCAAGTTTGGTCTCCACCTACTTTTCCCCAATCACATTCCCAGGCATAGCTTTACTTTATCTTTATTAGATAGCAACTGCTGGAGGACAATAAGGATAAGTGTTCAAGGGCAAATCAAATATCTAAAGGAAGTCTGTTACTAATGAAGAAGTGAATAATCAAATGCTATTCACAAGGACATAATTTTCACATGCAACACGAATAAACACACATCTTCTAGGCGCTTCCCTGAAAGGATTTATGAGATTTATTTTAAAGGGACTTATAGTACTAGTTTTTAAATCCTAATGATCATTCATCATTTGAAATATCATACTAGTTTTCTGAACCAGTACAGATTGGTAGTAGTATAAATATGCCTAAAGGATGTTACAGTTTCTGTATTATTAGCATACTACTATACTTTATAACCATATATTATTCAAAGGATTATAAAAGTAAAAATATTAACATCCTTTAGAACCATAACATATAACAGCAATTTGGTGGTATTTTATACTATTGAACTGTTGTTCATATTTGCTAACATTTAATAAGAGCAACTGTGATGTTCTCCATGATTTGGTGAATATATGATGATGAATCATGTTTAAAATAACTTTTATTGAGCACTTGGATGTCAAAATAACATAAGGCTCCTTGCAGTCAGATTCACCTGTTTTATTCCACCTGCTTCTTCTCTGGCTCATCTCTCCACATACTCAAATAGAGCAATTTCAAAGGCTTAGAACTTGGACCACTGTACCTCTCTCCCAAGGCTTCCTCCATAATAAAATATATTTTATGCCTTGAATTTAACTATGATTTTAATATATAACATATCTACACTTTGAGCTGGGATCTTACTTTTGAATTCCAGTCTAGACTCTTCAATAGCCAGAAGTCCCCTTTGAAAGCACATTTCAACTAGTTCTCAGTTGAAAGCAATGTTTGATAAACCATCTTAATTATTGAGTAAATTACTTCTGTTGACTTTAAAGAAAATATATGGCCACAGAAGAACTAGAATCACAATTAATTCATACAATGTTAGACAGTGCACACAAGATTTTAGAATATATAGAAATAACAAAACCACAGTTATAATATTGAGGAGAAAGTATATACCAAGCATGGGGTTGCACATTTTGATTTTTTTTACTTACCTTTTAATTTTAAGAGCTTTAGCATTACTGCGAAGCCATATAAAATACATATAAAGTAGAACAAAGTTTAATAAACAGATAAATGGACACAAAAGAAGGAAGAGACAGAGAAACTGAGAAAGACAACACTTTTTTTTCCTTGATTTTTTTAATGTTGTTTCAAATTGCTTAACAACTATTAACTGTGATTTGTTGGATGACTTAAGGATTAATGAAATTTAAGGCTTTGTTGAAGTTTTGGCATTAAAGGTGACTTATATAACAAGTTAACAATGAATAACACTGAAGAAAAGCAAAATCAATTACAAACTGATTCATTGTAAATTGAAAGCATTCAAAATTACTCAGATACACTTTATTAATTTTAAAATGGAAGCTTTCCTTGGTTAAATATTACTTCAGCGTGCGTAGATACACTAGCATAATAATGACTGTGTTTACACAGACAGTGAAGTAAACATTTGTTAATCTGAACTATGGAATGTTAGTAATCATGATAAATGACCACTATATTCAAATTACACTAAAATCTAAATTGAAAATAAATAATCCAAGTGCTACAGATTGGTTTAAAATTGCTTTAAATCAATCAAGTCTCCTCTTTCCATTTTGTAGCTTTGAAAATTTATTTATCATTACAATATTTGTATAGAAAATGAAGAATGATTCATGGAAACCAAATTTAATAGTTTCAAGGATCAGTAATACTCTATAATACAGAAAAGACAGACTCCTGATAGGATATGAAGAGTTACTTCAAAATATTCTATCTGTAGAGGAAAAAAAAACTTACAAAGATAAATAAGAGTATTGAAAAGATACTGCATCTATGCTAGAACAAAGATAATAACATAAAGTGCTTTATAAATTAATTCATTCTCTTATTTTAAACTTATTAGAGCAAACTACAAGAAAATATAGTAAATAATATTTTCAATATTAAATTGGCTCAGAAGAATGATATTTAATTGGTTTCATTCTTTTGATATTAGGTAAGGTGCTGGTTTACCTTTGATGCTTTGATGATTAAAATGTGAAAATGAGGTTGATTTGTGAGGCTAATTAGAAGACACCACCTAGTATATCCTGATTGATTCTGAATTGATGACATTAATTTCATGCTTAGACATTTCAGAATTGGATACAAAACATACTGGTGGGTCAAAAACCAGCCCACTATATACTTTTTGTCAAGTATAACTTGGAATATTTCTCTATTTCATGATTGCATGAGTTTAGTAGTAGCAATGAAATAGAAGAGAAAAAGATTTAACTCTAAAATATGTGGGAGTAACACTAATTAATAGCAAAAACATAACACTTTGGACAATTTTGTATTTTTAACATCTTCTGGACTTATTTAGTTGCTTTTTTCTTTTTTCCTTATTCCTTTCTCCCTCCTTTCCTCCCTGACACTTTTTGTTCAACTCTTCTCATTTCTAACACAAAGTACAGTGAAATCACTGTGTTTAAAGATAAATTGAATATGTTTATACTAACACATAGTAGGCCAACGATAAATACTTCCTGACATAAATAGAGGTAATAAACTATGCTGAGAGTCAGCATGTTGAAGTGGACAAAGCAATGGACTGGGATCTAATATTTTCTGACCAGTCTACCTAACTATGAGAACTTTGGCAACTCACTGGCTCTTTCATAATCCCCTATAAATATCTGAAAGTCTCTGGTCCAAAGAACAATTACTTTTGCTTCTGTTGGCACTGATTGGGGAAATAATTTTACTTATTTAAAAGACCACAATCAGGAATCACCAGATAGCTTTAATCATTTCAAATGTCATGCTAATAAGACCTAGTTGGTTTTATCAAATGACACTGCCCACTAAACTCAATTACATATCTGCATTAAAAATATTTTAAATGATTACAAAAGGGATTTATTATCAAAGCTCCAATGGAATTAACCTTGTTATAGGGATATCCAATTAAAAATGTGGAAAAAATTTTCTTAGCACAGAATTCAGTTGTTAGGTTCATTTTTTTTCTTTTTCATTCAGTGAAATAAAATTAGTAGGTATATTATTATATAGTTTGGGCATTAATCCATTACTATTATCTGACGATATTAGCTATAAATATTATATATTGAATACTCTACAAATTATGTAATACTTATAAATCTTTAGCTAAGGTTTCATCTATACTCTTAAAAATTTTTAGAAGATTTTACTAAAAATGAATATTAACATATAATAATAATTATAACAATTAATAAACTATTTTTTGTCAGAGAAAGTGTTAAATTAGACCTTGATCAGAAATAGACTACTAAGGGGAAAAATCAATACATTTGTATTGATAAAGCTGATTAGAGAAAGCTAGGTTTTAATTAAAAGTTTCCAATCCAGCTAATCTTAATTTGACATTCTAGATCACATTTAAAGATGCATCATTTATTTCCCACTGATGTTTAGGAAAGCCAATATATCTGTATAAACCATCGTTGAAATATTTTTCACATATAAACCATATTTTAAGATAGATTAGATCCAACCATGTGTGTGTGTTTTTATCCTTGATATATTCTATGGAAAACTCACTGGCTCTCTCACAGCCCCCTATAAACATGTGAAAGTCTCTGATCCAAAGAATGACTACTTTTATATATGCTGACACTGACTGAAGGTAAAAAACTTGACACTTTATAATTATTACAGCAATCAAACTACAAATATTTAAATACATGGTACCAGATTGCCCAAATACTTCTATAAATATTACAGTTGTAATACATATATCAATATAGAAACTGCCACATGAATTTTAGTAGCAATTTTCAAGGCCCATATGGAAATTAAAGAACAAATGGTACATATATCCTACAGCACAT